TTAAAATTTTGGCCACTAATATAGATTTTTTAAAAAATTTATATTTTGCTAAAATTTGATTGGCTAATTTTTATATGATACAAAAATTGTTATAATAAAAATTTTTTAAAATTTGGTTATCTTTAGTTATATGATGTTGGTTCTAGGCTATATACACTATAGTATAAACTATAATTCAAAAATACTTATTGATTATATTAATCTTTTATTTTGTACCAGTTTATTTACATAAATAAAATATCATTATATAGAGAAGAAAAAATTAATTGAAGCATAGCTAATTAGAATCAGTTGCATATACAAAAATACTATTCATGATAGGGTTCTAAAAGAATATACTTCTGTAGCTAAAATATATTGAAATTGAGTTTTTTAGATCTCTATCAAGAACTCAAGTAAGTTAGGATTTCTACTAAAAAGTGTTTACCTCTTGTCATAGATGTGAAATTTAAAAAAAGCACTTTAAGTAAATTTCATATATTTTTGTATAATATATCTATTTGTTATACCTTTATATAATATTTCTATCATACCCTAAACTAGTAATACAAATCAAAAATTGAATTAATTGATTAGTTGTAAAGTTGACAATTAATCAATTTGAATTTTACAGATCTAATTTAGTCGATTAATTGATTAGTTGACTAATTGATTAATTAATTAGCCAACTAATCGATTAATCAATTAGTTGATTGGTCAATTAATTGACTAGTTGATTAATCGATTAAATTAACTAATTCTATAAGAATATCAACTGGCTGTTTTAGTTGCTACTTTGCTTGTATTTTACCAAGTTTTGTTTATTATTTATTCAACTAATCGATTAGTCAACTAATTAATTAATCGATTAATCGATTGGTTAACTAATCGATTAGTTAAATAAAAACTGATTAATCAATTAGTTGGATAAAATGATCTATCAATTAATTAATTAAAAATTTTTCATTAATTTGTATTACTGCCCTAAATATATCCTAAATAATACTATATTTTAATTGGTTAATTAATACAAAAGGTAAATATTTTTTGTAGATTAATTAAGGAGTTATCAATTTATTAGAAAAAAAAATTAGAATTAGGGTTTATTTTTAGAATCTAATCAAAAACAGTATCCATCAAAATTAGTATTGCAAATCTATCAAGTTTGTATAGTTATCTAGATATTATTATTCAAATTCCAAAAGAACTACTTAATAATTGTTAATTTTTGTAAAACTTTTAAATTTTAATAATTATCTAAAATCAATAAGAATGTTTTAATATCATATAAGATATAATAATGTTTATGAGTATTATTTTGAAATTTGGACCCCTAAAATAGTATATAATATTTCAAATTAGCACTCATAGGCATTCTAAATTAACACGTATTTGATATAACTTATAATCAAAGTAGAACTGTTTATGTTATATAAGATTTTTATTGATAAATTTTTTTTAGATATTTTACAATACTTTTTTTTGAAAACTCAGATATTTTAACTCTTTGGTAAAAGATACTTATAATTCTAAACAAACTTAATATTTTTATTTGCTTTATAATCTATTCGCTAAATCTTTCTAAATCTGCCAATTTTTATAATACAATTTTCTCACAGAAGTTATAAGAAAGTGCAAGTCATTAGTTGTCAAGATTTCATTTGTTATATAAAAAAAATAGCAAAAAATATTCAAAATGATTTAGCAAAGGTAACGCAGTTGTAAGGTATTAGTTTATATAATATTTATTGTATATATTATACAAATATTTTCAAAAAACAAACTAAAATTATATATATAATATACATAATTAATTAATTTTAAGTTTATTTTTTAGACTACAAAAGCTTATATATGAAGAAAAATATACAATATATTTACATTTATATCATATGTTGGAATAGGATTATTGTAAATTTAGAATCTATCTAGATTGATTTTTAATAAACATAAATTGTAAAATATAGCTAAGTAGTTAAAGAATTCTAATTCAACTTATAATAAATTAAGTATATTTCAAATATTCAAATTTACTATTTTGAAATTTAAGTCATTTCAGGAAAAGAGTTATTTATAATATAGCACATTGCTAATAAATTAAATTTAAAAGTATTATATTAAAGTTTTACTTCTTAATTAATGGAATAACAACTATTCTCACAAGATACATTTATTTTTTAATATTCACAATTATTTTTTTTATATATATTCTAATATTACCTATTTGTAATAGGAATTGTATAATAAACACTTCTTAAAAGCTTATAAGTATTGAAGAAATAATCTCTAATTCTGAAAACTTATCATAACCCAATAAACACAAGTAGGTCTGAGTTAAATTTAATAGTTGCATTTCAAATCTTGTATTTTTATCCAATAACAATCTTTTGCCTTCTCAACTATTATAATTGCTAGATCTTATAAGTAAAATAAGAAAAAAAATAATAATAATAATTTATAATTTTTTTAAATATCGATATATCAATTGATTACACATTTTATTACAGTATTAAATTTAATTTTATTAATTATATAGTATCAAATTTAGAATTAATTTGAGTTGTTTTCAAATTTTATATAAACCTGGACTATATTTAAAATTCTGTTTCAACCTAAATAGATTCTAGATTTACAATAATTCTATTCTGATATATGATATTTATATCAATATTAAAAATTTCTTTAATAGTATAGTAGTGTGTAATAAGAAATTATACAAGATATATATATATTTTTTTTGGTATTAAGGTGACCTTCTTTAGTTAGTTCTTTTTATTCAGTTATAGGTCAAAGCTTTACTATACGCCAAGCCTTTCTTAGTGCTTGTATAGTATATATATTTGGAGGATACATACTAGCCACATGTACAACTTTTGGTTGTCTATTTTAAGTAGTCCACTTATTACTAAGTTCTACACTAGATGCTATACCTATAATCTGACTAGATAGTTACTTATTTAAACCCTCTGTGTCTATATAGATTAATTATTTTATAACCAAATTGTGATAATCTCTTAAGAAACCACCTTAGGACTTTAAAGCAAACTTAACCAGTAAGTTTTTTGTTCTCGAGATAAATCTGCTAGAGCTTTCTATATCCACAATTCGGCTAGCCTAGGCTTTAGTAACTTATACCGAGTTCAAGAACAAGTATTTGCGAGCCAAAGTCACTACTGTTACCTACTTCTGCCTTTATAGAGTTCATCCAGCCTTGGTACGCATATTACAGACCATTTATAGTATCTTCTAACTATTTTAAACTATCAATCCAGATAGCTCAGAAGGGCTGTGACCTGCTTCTGGTCTCTACGACTGGGTTCTTTTTCTCTGGTTACTTCTTCAGCAGCCTGGTTGGTGAAGTGCCTTGCTGAACATTTCGGTCCTGTTCAGTTTTTGCTGGTTCTTCCAATGATAATCCTTTATATAATACTGTTAAAGATTTGTGCTACCTCTCTATTCAGGTTTTGCCAAGCAAGTGCCCTACTGCCGTATCAGCTCTATAGCTTTCTGCAATTCGAAGACCTATTCCTATAACTCATATATCATACAAATGCTCCAAGATTTTCCAGTTCTGATGAATTAGTACGACCATAGTTATAGGGTCTCAAGTTTTCTTGGCTATGACGATAGTTACTAAATCTGTTTTTCAAAATTCAATTTTCATCTTCAGTGGGAATTGAACTTGTACTTAACCACTTGGGGTACGACAACTTGACCACTTTACTAAGTCACCACACTCTAATTGTATAAGATATTTAGATTTTAAATTACAGTAGATATATAGTTAAATATATAAAATATAGTATAAGAAACTATAATAATTTTGTTAATAATAATTGTACTAAGCTTTATTAGTATATAAGTATTATTTAATTCTTTTGTTATAATAATTGCAAAAACTATAAAATTTAAAAATTAAAAAAAATTAACTAATTGTAATAAATGATAGCCTTATTTTCATCTGTTTTAGTTTCAATTTTATTTGATAAATAGTACACTATGAAAAATCAAATTATGGTGACAACTTTATATAATAGACTATCAGAAAAATGATGGTTTCTGTTATAACCTCTTGGTTAATTGTATATTATAACCTTAAGACTTGTTATGATTTATAAAATTTCTATTATATTATACTACCTTGATCATATATATAATGTTAAATATGATCTAAAATGGCCAATACTAGTTTAAATTAGAATTTAGTTAGCAATTTATGTAAAATATGAAAGGATTTTTTTATTTATTGTATTTTGCAAAATTCTATACTAATATTTATAAAATAATCATAGTTGCGATTGTATGACTTATAAAGTTGGTTAATTTATTAAAATCAAACTCAAATTGCAATCACGATTATAATCAATTTATTAATAATTGAGGGGTACAAAATTTTGCAAAGTGCAATAATAACTTATATCTTTGTTACTTTCTTAATCATTAATATTTATTATTTCTTCAAAATCACTATTTGTCTTATTTTTATCAAGTTCTTTATCAGAATTCAATTCACTATCTGCAATTTTCTTATTTGGCAATTCATTATCCTCATTTTCTTATCAAGAACTATTTTATCTATATAGTTTGTAATAATTGTCTGAAGCTAATTTAATATTTTGTAATCTTCACTTCTATCAATATTAAGCATAAATCTAACTGTTTTAAAAGATCTAGCTAACAGATTCATGTTGATTTTTCTCTAAGTTTTAGATATCTATTTACAAACTAATTCATATGGTGCTTTTTTTTGATTTTTTTTTAGTAAACTTATATTTCCTTCATCTATCTATTTTTTCTACCTTTTTGTTATCCTATTCTTGAAAAGCTTCTTTACTAAAATATTAGGTAGTTGCAAAACATATTATTCTGCTAAGAATCTTTAAAACATCTAAACCTTCTAGATTTAATATTTTAATTATATCATCACAGATATAACTACAATAGCAGTCAACAAATATTATACTTTTATTTTTAAAAAACCTGTTCGATCTTGCTTAGATAACTTGTAAAATATAAGTAAAAACTATCAAATCTTTATTATGTTTGTACAAGATACCATTGTTATAACCAGTGATATATACAGAATATTTTGAAATATTTTGACAAAAAATAAAGCTAATTTATTCAAAATTTTATTAT